AAGCTCGTAATACTCCCCCTTGTGCTGCGGAAGGACGGTTGGAGTCAATTGCAGTTTTTCGTCCGTTTGAGTTGGTGGCGTTTGATCTTATGGGACCTTTTCCGCGATCGACTGCTGGCAATGAGTATGTTATTATTGCTTCTGACTACTTGACTTGTTGGGTGGAAGTTGGTGCTCTTGCTAGTGCCTTTGCAACTGCTGTTGGATACTTCCTCCTCAATCGAGTGGTGTTCCAGCATTCTTGTCCAGAACGGATTCTTTCGGATAATGGTCCTGTATTTATGGCTGAGGTATTTCATGTTTTGACATCTCGGTTGGGGATACGCCACACTTTTACAAGTGCTTATCATCCACAATTAGACGGTCTGGTGGAACGGCTCGTTCGGACATTCAAAGGGATGATTGCGAAGTATGTGAACTTTCAACATTCGGATTGGGATGGTTATTTGCCGTCTCTTCGGTATGCTTATGTCACAGGGGTGCAGAGTTCTATTGGTGCTTCACCATATAAACTTCTATATGGTCATGATCCAATATTACCAACAGAGCTGGGTTTACCTTCGCGATTGCCACGAGCTCCTGATGCTAGGTCATGGGATCAATATTTGACAAGCATTCTTCCACTTGTCCGAGCAGAGTCTACTGAACACTTAGGCCGCGTACAAGTGGGACAACAACGGCGCTACAATTCCCATCATCGTCCACCAGCGGAGTACAAAGTGGATGATTTGGTGTTAGTCCATTTTCCCCATCTTACGGTACGTGGTTTATCTAAGGGGCTCCTTGCGCAGTGGAAAGGACCGTATCGGGTGTTGCGGCAAGTTGGACCACAAGTTTATGAGGTTCGGCATGACGTTCAGCAGGCCGATCCTCCGGAGATTGTGCATGTGCAGCGGTTAAAACACTTCATACAAAGGGATCAGGAGCAGTTAATACCATCTACAGATCCACCGATGCCTCCTCCTAACGTTCCTCCAGATCCTGGCCCATCTACAAGAGAACCCTGACGGCCTTCCATTATTCCGAGAGGAGGGGATGATGTGAGGGCCAAGTGTACGGCTACGATGCCGTATACTAATATTAGCGTAGTGGATTTTGGTAGCTGTCAGATTGGTTTCAATCCGGACCACTCGCTCCTGTATATAAGCTAGGGTTTTTGGGCTAATTGATATGCACATTTCTGTATTCCCTTTCCATATTCCATGCACTCACAACTAGAATATATTTTAAAAAAAACAAATGATGGTATATAAAATGTGGGTTAACTTAGTTTTATAAATGTGTAGGACCATGATCAAAGTTTCAAGTGTTAATACAAAAACATTAAAAAACTTTAAACAATAAAAGTATATATTATATTTTTATATATAGCCTTACTTATTTATAATCTAACTCATTATCAAAAAAAAAACTATGATAATGTATGCAGTATTTTATTAAACAGTAATATTTTAAAATATTTTTACTAACTACAAATATATTTTATTAGTACATAATTCTATGGAATATAAGATTTGAATTTATAGTTTCTATATTATATATATTTACAAATAAGTTTTTTCTTGACCAGATCTGGTTAGTAATATATTAATGTTTCTAAAACTTTATTGTTATATATTCTAAATAAAATTTATAATTAAGTAATATCTTGCAGTAATTATTCTCATTTGTTTGATAAAATCTTAAAATAAGTTTATCCCAAATAAAAATAAAATTTACATATAACATATTATTAATAAAAGAAAATTAATTTTTATGTCAGGTTTTTTCTAAATATATTCATATTCCCAAATAAAAGTTTGTATCTAATATTTTTATTAATGAATATTTATTCTTACTTATGCCTAGGAATGTATTTTGTTTTAAATATTTATATTATCAAGTTTACAAAAATTAATTTTTGTATTCATCTAGCATTTTCTAGGCATAATTCCCTCAATCAAAGTGGAATATAATATTTCTTGTTTTGATACAATTCAATATAATTTTTAATATAATGAAAAATCAAAACAATATTTTGTTAGTTACACAGCATATGCTAGGCAAATACTAATAAATTATTATTAGTATAATAGGATTTTAATAGTTGATTTCAATCTGGATCATTCACTCTTGTATATAAATTAGAGTTTTTGGGTAAATTTATGTGCCCAAAAATTTCTGTATTCTATATTAATATTAAAAAATAATTTTAATAATTTAAAATTTATAATTAAATTGTCCAATTTCGATATAGAAATGTTATTCACAATACTTTTAATTTTTAAAGCCAAAAGAAAGAAATAAATACTAGGGGCTATGGTGGAAGGATGCCGCAGCGGTGAGGACGTCGATCTCAATGCGCTCAAACCCGCTGCTTGCCGCCGCTACGGCCTTGCCCGAGCGCCAAAGCTCGTGGAGATGATCGCGGCGTTGCCAGAGAATGAGCGCGATCTCGTCCTGCCCAGGCTCTGGGATTGCCATGGTTGCCGTCATGTCCAAGCCGCATCGGTGCCCACACATCGCCTATCTGTGTCTGCTGCCCGGGAGGCCCAGATTCGGACTTCAAATATAGCACACAGTCCTACACTGGGTATGAACCAACGAGCATGAGAGCAATTCGAGCAAGGTAAATTATATAGTCTTTTTCATTTCTTTTTTTGCTAGAAAAAAAACTCAGGTACAATCCTTATATACAGGCTCGAGGTCGAGTGGATCAACTCAGGCGTCTGGGCCATAGCGTGGATAAGGTGATCAAGTTTATGGATTTTCTTCTCTGTCACTGAGCAAAGGTGATCACCACAGGTTGAATATATCCTTATGGGTGTCTTTGCCAGCAGACTACCATGACTATTTTATCCGAAATCTCCATGACGCTCTGTCTGATCACACCTCTCGAGATGTGGAGGAAGCCGTGAGATACTCAGAGCATGCTGCCATCAAGTGCATTGGACTGATCATTGAGACGTAAGGCTTGCGTGGTTTCTTTCTACACCTGGTCGTTTTCCTCGCTGTAGCAGGCGTCCCGACTACTGTCTGTCTCCTCACTTTTGCTGATTATGTATTTCAGGTGGTTGCTCATATGATGCCTAACCTTCCAAACCTTGATATGGAACGGGACATGGAAAGCTTCCGCGAGTTTTTTGAAAATCCTTCCTTTCGAGCGGACGGCCTCAAAATCTATCCAACGCTGGTTATTCAAGGGACAGGTTTGTACGAGCTATGGAAGACTGGAAGGTTAGTGTATTTGCTGGTCTTTTCTCTGAGACAAAACTGATGTGCATCCTGATTGCTACAGGTACAAGAACTATCCACCTGAACAACTCGTCAATCTGGTTGCCCGAGTGTTGTCTCTGGTACCTCCCTGGACTCGGGTCTATCACATACAACATGACATCCCCATGCCTCTTGTAAGGTCAGGCGTTGAGAAGGGAAACCTGCGAGAGCTGGCATTGATGAGGATGGAGGACTTGGGCTTGAAATGTAAAGATGTCAGGACAAGAGAAGTTGGGATTTAGGTTTCTCCAATAACAAATATAAGTTATAATTTGTTCTTTTCCAATTTGCCAGATTACCTCGTCTATTCAACTACCATTACCTTAGCTTTAATAAAGTTCCTTCGCCAAAGTTCCCATACTTACAAGTAAATAACATTCAATTAATAATTCTGATTCTTTTGCAGGATATAAACAATCAAATCAAACCTGAAGAAGTAGAGCTAGTAAGGCGTGACTACTGTGCTAACAAAGGCTGGGAGACGTTTCTGGCCTATGAAGACACTAGACAGGTATTTGCCTAAAGCTTTCTCAAAGTCTTTCTCATGCATATCATGCTTATCTTGCTTGAGAGTGATCATCTAGGATATACTGGAGGGTTTACTGCGCATGAGAAAATGTGGTCCCAACGCTACATGCCCTGAGCTGCTGGGAAGATGTTCGATAGTTCGCGAGCTGCACGTTTATGGAACTGTGGTGCCTGTTCACGGCCGTGACGCCGACAAGCTATAACACCAGGTCTATTTGTTTTCATCTTTATCCTATTGTCTCAAGCTACTTCCAATTTGTACAGGGTTATGGAACTCTTTTGATGGAAGAAGCCGAGAGGATAGCTCGCAAGGAGCATCGATCCGTGAAACTGGCAGTGATATCCGGAGTGGGAACTAGACACTACTACAGGAAACTAGGCTATGAGCTAGAAGGTCCCTACATGACGAAAAGATTGTAAGTTTACAAGATGAGAATCTCAATCGATTTCTTTGAAATCTTTTGATTTGCAAACGCGAATGTTTAGCATATAGCGCAGCGAGATCTTATGACAGCACATATTGTATTTAAAAGCTTCTAGTAATGAGATTCTACCACAAGTTGTACTTAAAAAACTGCTAGTAATCCGAAGTGTTTTACATTAGCACGGGACCTCCTTCCACCGAGCAAAACTATCTTGAATGCTGCTCAAAGATCGCAAATCAAAGTTGACTCCAAACTGGTTAACTTTGAGATTGAATTATATTGAATAAAATAACTCCAGTAAACATTCAGTAATCAAAAGTTACTATAATTTGTAAAGACCTTTGATCAGGTCACATTGAATAGCCGAACGATTCCGGCTGAATTCAAGGAAACAACCACCATTCTTTTTTCCAATCTTATTGGTAGTGTTCAAACACCATTGCTGAAACAACTAGTGTACGCGGCATATTCACCCCTGTCAACGCTTCTATTTCGAAATTTCGCGCAAAAACCCGGGAAGAAAACTTTGCATCCACGCCAAAGCGTGTGCGGCGGCGTCGAGAAGACCACTCCTCCTTTGGCGAGGACTCTCCATATGTTCCATAGAAGAGGGTCATGAAATCACAGCAACGTGTGCTTTCTAGTTAAGCGTCTGGACCGTCGGATCAAATCCCAGCCCAGAAGCGTCTAAATGAGAAGCTTCCATGGAGTAGCATGGGCTTGTTGGTAGAAGTTTTCGGCCATGGTCCAAAGAGGCCAAATGTCCAAGTTATATAAAGCCCTAGCTCCCATTCTCCTCATTTCTTCCGGCTCGATCGATCCAGGGATGTAGCGCCAGGATCTAGGATCTGGATCTCGATCGAATCGACTTCTAGTGGTAGCTCGTCGAATCGGGGGTGGAATTTTGTAGGTCGCCTCGCCCCCAGATATTGCCGAAAATATTGCATTGGATCGTCGCGAAAGAGGGGACAAGGGGGGAGCGATGGCGCTTCCGACCGACGTGGAGCTGATGAGAGCGGCGAGCTCGCGATCGTGGACGGAAAATGTCTTCTCGCGCAGCTCGGTCAGGGAGGTGGACGATGAGGAGGCCCTGAAATGGGCCGCGCTGGAGAAGCTTCCCACATACGATCGCCTCCGGACGGCCATAATCAAGAACGTGGGCGAGCATGGGAGCACTCGCCACGAGCACATTGATGTCAAGTCCTTGGGCCTCGTGGAGAGGAGGAATCTTGTGGAGAAGCTCTTGGCAACAACGGACACGGAGAACGAGATGTTCATCCGCAAGCTCCGGGAAAGGATCGACAGGTAGTAGAACTCTTTTGATTCGAGTTTCTTCTCACTCTTGGAACAATTGTCTCAGAGTCGGGATAGACCTTCCCAAAATCGAGGTGAGGTACGAAGGACTTCAAATCGAAGCTGATGTACATGTCGGCAAGCGAGCTCTACCGACGCTGTTTAACTTTGTCATCAACATGTCCCAGGTTCGTATTATTAACGAAAAAATCTTTTCATCGCTCTCTGGCTCTTACTTTTTTGTTGTGATTTGTTTTTCCAGCAAATCTTGGGAAAGTTACACTTGCTCCCTTCTAAGAAACACGTCCTCACGATTTTGCGCAACGTTAGTGGTATCGTGAAGCCTTCCAGGTAATGAAATTGCTGCAGCTTTCGGCGAAAATCTTGTACTCATACTTCTCTACAGGATGACACTTCTGCTGGGCCCTCCTAACGCAGGGAAAACTACGCTGCTTCTGGCGCTTTCTGGAAAGTTGGACCAAAGCCTTAAGGCAAGGAAGTCCTCTAGCTTTTAGGAGATGGTTCTCATCTTAGATTTTACTTTACAGGTTTCTGGGAGAGTCACCTACAATGGCCACACATTGACTGAATTTGTGCCTCAAAGGACTTCTGCTTACATAAGCCAACACGACTTGCATAGCGGGGAGTTGACAGTGAGGGAGACGTTTGATTTTGCTTCTAGGTGTCAAGGCGTGGGAAGCAGATATGGTAAACAACGTCCTGGGTTGGCGTGCACGTGGAATTGACTTTCTTATAACTTGTGTCAGAGATGATAACGGAGCTTTCAAGACGGGAGAAAAACGCCAAGATCAAACCGGATCCCGATGTTGATGCGTTCATGAAGGTAATAAGCACTTTGTGGTTGGCAGCGTTCTTACGAGCTTCTTACAGGCGTCGGCTATAGAGGGTCAGGAGACCTCCATTGTAACGGACTATGTGCTGAAGGTAAGCGTGTTTTGGATCGTGATCAAAGAGGATTCGCGGTTCTCATGCATTTTTTCGCTTCCAGATTTTGGGTTTGGACGTTTGTTCTGATATACTTGTCGGAGACGCCATGCGCAGGGGTATTTCTGGAGGACAAAAGAAGCGTGTCACTACAGGTAAGACTTGCAAGCCTGGAAGCTTTTTGGTCACGATTTGTTTATGACAAATGTTTATTTTGCAGGAGAGATGCTCGTTGGGCCTGCAAAGTCTCTTTTCATGGACGAGATTTCAACCGGTCTTGACAGCTCGACCACATTTCAGATAGTGAAGAGCTTAAGGCAGTTTGTCCATGTGCTCGATGCTACCATGGTCATCTCCTTGCTCCAGCCTGCTCCCGAGACGTTTGAGCTTTTCGACGACTTGATTCTTCTATCGGAGGGGCAGATTGTATATCAGGGCCCCCGGGAACTCGTGTTGGATTTCTTCGAGACGCAGGGATTTAAATGTCCTCCGAGGAAAGGTGTCGCAGACTTTTTGCAAGAAGTTACGTCAAGGAAAGACCAGGAACAGTATTGGGCTGACAAGAGGATGCCATACAGATTTATACCTGTCCAGGAGTTCGCGGATGCCTTTCAAAAGTTCCATGTCGGTCAGAACATTGCTGAAGAATTGGCGCGGCCTTTTGACAAGAGTAAAAGCCATCCGGCAGCTCTTGTCACTCAGAAGTACGCTCTTAGTAACTGGGAGCTTTTCAAGGCTCTCTTGGCGCGGGAGATACTTTTGATGAAGAGGAACTCATTCGTCTACGTGTTCAAAAGTTGTCAGGTATGCTATCAAAGACTAAAATCTATATATCTGATACTAAAATTTCCAATGCAGCTGATTGTTATAGCCGTAATCACGATGACTGTGTTTCTCCGGACCGAAATGCATCACAGAACTGTTGGCGATGGCAGTCTCTACATGGGAGCCTTGTTCTTCGGCCTGATGATCGTCATGTTTAATGGATTTGCGGAGTTGTCGATGACCATTGCGCGCCTTCCAGTATTTTACAAGCAGCGGGACCAGATGCTATTTCCTGCGTGGGCATTTTCTCTTCCTAACGTGATCACTCGAATTCCAGTGTCCCTGCTCGAATCAGCACTTTGGGTGTGCATGACGTACTACGTGGTTGGATTTGCTCCTAGTGCCGCCAGGTTTGTTACATTGATGTTTAGTGAGAAATAGTGTTGATATTTTATGTTTGAGTGTTTCAGGTTCTTCCAGCAGTTCCTTCTCATGTTCCTAATTCATCAAATGTCGGGAGGTCTTTTCCGATTCATTGCTTCACTTTCTCGGACTATGGTTGTAGCAAACACCTTCGGCTCTTTCACGCTGCTGATAATTCTTGCCCTCGGTGGTTTTCTTCTTTCTAGAGGTAATCCATTGACTATACTCAGGTAGCACAACTTATAATGGTCTTTAATTTCCAGAGGACGTTGAACCTTGGTGGATTTGGGGATATTGGTCGTCGCCCATGATGTACGCACAGAATGCGCTTGCCGTGAACGAGTTCAGTGCATCAAGATGGCAGATTCTCGAAAATGCCAATCAGACCACCACCATTGGCAACCAAGTTCTAGAGTCTCGAGGCCTGTTCCCCAATAAAAACTGGTATTGGCTTGGAACTGGTGCTCAGTTGGCTTATGCCATTCTCTTCAACGTTGTTTTCACTTTGGCACTCGCTTACTTCAGTGGTACGTAGGAATCTATTTTTTTTCTCCATGTAGGTACTCATTTTTATATTCAAACAGCTCCTGGGAAACCGCAGGCCGTAGTGTCTGAGGAAATACTAGAAGAGCAGAACATGAATCGTACCGGCGAAGTCTCAGAAAGATCAGTGCATGCAAAATCAAAGCGATCGGGCAGATCTTCTAATGCAGGTAATGGCGCCATCACAAATTTCATTATATGGTCTAACATCGAATGCCAGGAGATTTGGAGCTTACGTCTGGTCGAATGGGTGCCGATTCTAAAAGGGGAATGATACTCCCGTTTCAACCTTTAGCAATGTCATTCAATCATGTTAACTACTACGTTGACATGCCCGCGGTATGCTTTTACGCATTTCCTTTGTAGGATATTGAGTTCTAATGCACTTGGAACAGGAAATGAAGCAACAAGGCGTGACAGAAAATAGATTACAGTTGCTGCACGACGTAAGCAGTAGCTTCAGGCCTGGAGTTCTCACGGCTCTTGTCGGTGTAAGCGGTGCTGGAAAGACAACTCTCATGGATGTTTTAGCCGGGCGTAAAACTGGTGGCTACATTGAAGGCGACATTCGCATCTCCGGCTATCCCAAAAACCAGGCTACTTTTGCTAGGATTTCGGGTTATTGCGAACAGACTGACATTCATTCACCCAACGTTACAGTGTACGAGTCACTTGTTTATTCTGCTTGGCTCCGACTATCGGATGACATTGATAAGGGGACGAAAAAGGTAAGGAGAGAGATGTTTTTCGTAGTCAAGTTTGCTAAGATGAGTTTTGGAACAGATGTTTGTGGAAGAAGTTATGGAGCTTGTAGAGCTTAACCCTCTCCGGGATGCGTTGGTTGGTCTCCCTGGAGTTGATGGACTTTCGACCGAGCAGCGGAAACGACTGACAATTGCCGTGGAGCTCGTTGCAAATCCTTCAATTATTTTCATGGACGAGCCAACTTCCGGACTGGATGCACGAGCGGCAGCAATTGTCATGAGAACGGTCCGCAACACTGTCGACACCGGTCGCACTGTCGTCTGCACCATTCATCAGCCTAGCATTGACATTTTTGAGGCCTTCGATGAGGTACGCGATTATTACCTTGCAAACTCTCTTGAAAACCTGCCTGCTTTCTCCAGCTTCTGTTGATGAAACGCGGAGGGCGCGTTGTCTACGCAGGTTCCTTGGGAAAGAACTCGCACAAACTTGTTGAATACTTTCAGGTAAGTCGCTTGCGTTGTTCTTGCAGACTTGAGATGATTTATATGGATTAATTTCCCCAGGGTATTAGCGGTGTTCCTAACATAAGAGAAGGATACAATCCAGCTACATGGATGTTAGAGGTTACCGCTGCAGACGTGGAGAATCGTCTGGGAGTAGATTTTGCGGACATCTATAAAACTTCTTCAGTCTACCAGTAAGCACACTTGACCATTATCTCTTTCTTGGCTAAACCACTGGTGTGTCTAGGCACAATGAAGCTATTATTACTCAGCTGAGCACTCCGGTTCCCGGCACGGAGGACATATGGTTTCCAACGCAATACCCTCTGTCGTTCCTCGGACAGGTCATGGGATGCTTGTGGAAACAACATCAGTCATACTGGAAAAATCCATACTACGTTCTGGTTCGCATGTTCTTCACCTTGGTTGTCGCGATAATATTTGGCACAATGTTTTGGGACATCGGCTCCAAAAGGTAAACGTTGTGTAGTTCAATCAAGCGTTGATTCTGACTCCTGCCTTTCTCTCGTGAGCAGATCACGAGAACAAGACCTCTTTAATCTGATGGGATCTATATACGCTGCTGTGCTCTTCATTGGGTTCAGCAATTCGTCAGGAGTGCAGCCAGTCGTTGCTATCGAGCGAACGGTCTACTATCGAGAAAGAGCCGCTGGAATGTACTCTCCCCTTCCATATGCTTTTGCTCAGGTAAGGCATACATCCGACTCTTCAGATTTCGTTTGACTCATCAAGGAAAACTCCGTGCGTCCAGGTCCTGATCGAGATTCCCTACGTGTTCGTGCAAGCCTTCGCGTATGGACTCATTGTGTACGCGACGATGCAGCTGGAATGGACAGCAGCCAAGTTCTTGTGGTTCCTCTTCTTCTTGTACATGACGTTCCTCTACTTCACGCTCTACGGCATGGTGACGGTGGCGCTGTCACCCAACGACCAGATTGCAACCATCGTATCCTCGGCATTCTACGGAATCTGGAACCTGTTCTCTGGCTTCATCATCCCTCGACCGGTAAGTTCATGAATTCCACACATTTCTTTCCTTAACACTTTGGTTTGTTTCTTGGTGTCTCTCAGGCGATTCCAGTGTGGTGGAGGTGGTACTACTGGGCCTCGCCACCGGCGTGGTCTCTCTACGGCCTCCTCACGTCTCAGCTGGAGAGTCA